GAAGGTCAATACTAAAAAAAAATAATGAGGAACTTTGTGTTAATTAAGACCGACCTCTTTCGGCAAACCCGAAGACCCGGCAGACTATGCTTAATACATCTAACCTCGGATGTATGACGGTATGTGATATGTAGATACGCCTATACATTGTGTTGCAGTTAGATCGTTAGGTGTTGCGAATGCTTTTTCAACACTCCTCTTGAATTGACAACATTATCATGCTGGCCCGGGAAGCATTTACTCTGTAATTCAACATTCCATTGAGACATGTGAGACTCGGCATTATATAAAACACTTTCACTATGTTCTATAAAATGTTATTATTACACATATTTGAAATAGGTCCGTTTTTAGAACTAAATTCAGAAAAAATCAAAAATGCAATAGATAAAACGCACATATATATATTATTTGAACCATTTGAGTTTTAAATGGCTGTCAATATAAACATGATTTATAATTACCAATTAGACAACTATTCCAAAAAGCAATGATGACGAGGAATTAGTAAACAGCTTTTGTTTTTTTATAACTCTTGTGTTGAATGGATACAGTTGAAATTGAAACCGTGTTTGTGTTGTTTTGTATTTATTGTTAACTGTTAAGCCGTTGTATTGACCCTTTTATATTCTTGTCGATTTAACCTGCTATTTAATATGAAGATGATATTAAAAAAAATAAAGAATTCATCTGTTTTCATTGCCTAATATATACTGGTATATATGATGAGTTTATTATTAATATATAGAGACAATCGGTATTCCAATCGGTACTGATTTTGTACTCATATGAAGTAGATTTCACACAAATCTTCGCAAAAGAAAAAAAAAAACAAATCCTCCAAAGTTATTTTACTTCACGTTCAGATACATTGTCACTACATGACCTGCGATAAAGAAGATTATTGCATTTCATTTATAACTTGCAATAAAGTTAGAAAATGAAACTAGAAGGTATTTTTTATCTCTACATACCTTACGTGAAATTGACACAGATAGACGACTTCAACATAAGATATCGCCGCGATATAGCCTTGTTGTGCTAATGCGGCGTAAAGCAACCAACAATCAATCAATCAATCAACATAAGATCTGTGACAAACGAGATTATTATGACTCACGTATCAGTTTTTATTGATAAGTTGTACATGACTGACCTCTTTTGATTAGAGATCCTTGACCATCAACGTTGAAATATCAGTCAATGGCTCATAATGATTTTCACATTTTCAGAAAAAGACCAACAGACAAACAATAGTACACAAAACACAACATAGAAAACTACAGACTGAGCAACACGAACCCCACCAAAAACTGGGTGTGATCTCAGTTGCTCCAGAAGGGTATGTAGATCCTGATAACCTGAATAAAAGGGATATGGGATATTTGTCAATTAGACAGCAAAGAAAAAACATAAAAAAGCCAGAAACATTTAGAGTCCTAAAAAATATTCAGGTTCTATGCAGTATGTGAATCTCTATTATCTAGAGATTCGCTGACTGGTGTACATGTAGTTTCTGCAAGTTTCTTTGTTAAATACACATTTTTGACAGCAGTTATCTTCCCAGTACATATGATAATGGGGTTTACCAATGAACACTTCTACAAAGTCGATTTATTGTGATGCAAGAGTTTGAAAAAGGTTTATTTAAATATGCTGAAGACCTATAAATACATCTTATGTGAATAGCTGAATTTCGTGTTTTATCATTTTTATTACCGTTCAAATATACATGATCTCAAGAACAGATTATCGTAAAGAACCATTTAATTTTGGTATTGAGGTTTCATCCATTGCTCTTTGTTTCAGATTATTGATTGACGGGACTAACAGTGTAAAGATGTAATTTAAAGCTGACAGGATTAATTTTTTTGTAATGTAGGCAAAGTATGAGTATATGCAAATAAAGAAATAAGAAGATTTGGTATAATTGCCAATGAGACAATTCTCCACAAGAGCCTAAATGACATATAAATTAACAGGTATAGGTCACAGTACGGCCTTCAACAATGAGCAAAATCATTACCGCATAGTCAGCTATAAAAGGCCCGAAATGACAAATATAAAACAATTCAAACGATAAAAATAACGGCCTGATTTATGTAAAAAACAAAAAACGAAATACATATATGATATACAGCAACAAACGACAACCATAGGCACATACAGAATGTGGCGGGGTTAAACATATTAGCAGCCGCCAACCCTCTCTCTAACCTGGGACAGTAGTGTAACAGTGCAAAGCTCCTTCTTACTTACTTGCAACAAGCTCAAAATAACTTGTACCACTGTTGGTAGCTGATTCCAATGTCAAAGTGAGGCTTCCAATATCCTCTTGATCACTATCAGTATATGTTATTGTAGCTAAAACCTTTCCTATCGAGACGTCATCGTTATAAACTGTAACTGTACCTAGGCTAGTCAACTGTGGAGCTTCACCTTTAGCAAAAATTTATTCAAACCATGTTAAAATTTAACTAAGGTTTCACCTTTCTTAGCCAAAGATGACCTTGGATGGATTTGACTCTTTGTTATATTTCCATTTTGGTCATATAGCTCTTATATATATCAAATATTCCGCTTTGAGCGCTGCTGATGAAAATAAATCGAGAAAAGCGCTTCGGACGCATGAAATTTATAAATATTGGAATCAAATCATAGGTTTCTTTATACTGATTCAATAAATATAAGGTTTCTATACACTATTGTCTGAAATAAGGGAGATAATTTGCTACATCCGGCTTAGAATATGTCACTACCGGTCTCATACGATAGCTTTATTCAAACCGATTTTAAAGATATATGGTTTCTATATACTTTTGCTTGAAATTAGGGAGATAATTGCCAACTTTCGGTTAAGAAAATGTAACTTCCGGATTCATATGAAAGCTGTATTTACACTGATTCCAAAACAATATGGTTTCCATATACTTTTGCCTGTAATAAGGGAGACAATTAGCTACTTCTTGTTTATTGGAGGTCACTTCCGGTCTCAAATGATAGGTTTATGTATGCCTATTTATGAAATATATTATTTATAGGTACTTTACATGAAATACGTGCAAATCTGGCTACTACTAGTTTACTTAAGGTCACTCCCGGTTGACATTTATCAAGGTAATATGTCACCCAAAATTTTGTAAAAAGACTCTATGGCTTAATCATGTACCAAGTTGAAGTAATAATCAATTAACCTTACATTAAAACATTTCAGGAGCAGTAACTCATATAAGATGTCATCATAGTTTTTAGAACAAGTACGAATTTGGGTGGGCTAAAAAAGGATTGAATTTCCTTACACATGAGCCCTTAAAAGATTCTAAAGGTATATAGCTTTAGAACGAATGTACAATTTCTTCCCCTCAATAACCCAAACTTTTTGCATCAGTTCTTTTGTATCTACTTTTTATAGTTTGAGAAGAGATGCGCACACAAGCAAAGTACAAAATTTAGAACATGACCTTAACCTAATTTTCTTTTTGTTGGACTTAGGACCTCATTTTTGTTAAAATTGTCCGAAGCATCCTGAGGAATTAGTAAGCAATTAGGAAAAATAAATTTGCTGATTTCTTTTATGGTTGCGAAGGAAATGCACACACAAGATAAACAGTGTCTGGGGAGAAAACTTTTACAATAAACAGTGCGGTTAAACACGGTCAGGTTCAAAAGCGCAATAAATGTTCGATATCATATGCAAAAAATCTAAGCGACATCTTGCAAAACTACTGTATACCACCAGAAAAGGGTTTGGTGGAAAAAGAACAAAATAATAATCAGAACAAATACAATGTGTCTTTCCACAGAATGTGGAAAGGCCTAATAATAAAACGCATTACTGCATGTCTTTCATTGTTGGGCTAAACAGATGACGTTATGTGGATACTGAAATACCTAATTCTAATGCAACATCGTTTGTAACGTTCATTTTGATTGGATAAAGTCACTAATTTTCATGGCATCAATTCACAATTGATGCTATGAAAACGTTCGCGTAAGCGCACACGACGTATGACAGATTTTAAATGTATGTTTAAACGTTGTTTTCTATCAGTTTCATTAGAATGGAGATAACAATATTGTGTTTTAAGCTCCGACGACATCAATTGGTGATTTAATGGTCGCAAATACCCGTTTATTGGCTCCGCTAACGCGTCGCCAGTAAACTTAGTTTGCGACCATCAATTAAATCACGAATTGATGCCGTCGGAGCTTACAAAACAATACAGTTATCTTCTAAATAGTTGTTCGTTTGGCTATCCAATAAAAAAATAACCATACCATCCAATTTATATAAAAAAGAGGTGGAAGAAATCACAAGGAGAATTGAAACTTTTCATTCGGAATAAGACCGACAAAATCATGGCAAAAATAATGAAAAACGACTAAGAGACAAAGAACAGTCTACAAAACATTACATAAAAATCTAAAGACAAAGTAATGCGAATCACAGTAAAATCAGGTTGTAATCGCAGGTGATGTACAAAGGTTAGCAGATCTAGCTCCACATGTGCAATGCATATCTATATATGAAAACAGATAACTACTATAATAAGTTTATACTTTTGAAAACAAAAATATAAGCAAAAATGAGAAACACATTGATGGAAATCCTTCTCTGTCTTACATGCATTTTTAATGTAAGAAAAATATAGATTCCACCACTGCATCAAGTGTGTTACCATATCTCTCTATTCGAGACAGTTAAATTTTAAAATTTAAAACGCGAGGCTTGCCGAAAAATTAGCAGAAAGTTGTGTTCTTTATATATAACGTTATCAGATATGGTCGCCTTTTTTCATGACGTCACAATAGGAGATTTAGAAGAAATCAAAAAAAGTTTACGTCATAATTGAATTTCAACCAATCATTTGCCGAGAACAAAATTTTCTCTAGAGATGAACAATATTTTTCTCACACCGTTCGAGAAATATGAAGATAGCGTGAAAATTATAAAACATATTTTGATAGTATAGTACTTACTTGGTGTATAATACGACCTAATGGCATAGTCTGAGTTCGATACTGCTGCACCGGAAGTATCAAGTGTAGTCGACACACCGATTGCTGTTATTATATTATTTAGCCTCCTAATGGTTTCTGTTCCTTCGTTTACATAAGTAACGACAGATCCTCCAGTTGAATGTCTGAAAAAGAAGTTATTTACCAGGTAAAATGATATTTTATGGAATTTAATGTATTGGCAGATTAACGATCGAGTGGATCTTTACTTCTTTAAAAAATTACAAAATGTGATGATTTTGTATCATAGGTTCGATAGTTTACATTAGTTACAGTTCGGCAGAAGCCTTATACTTTAATAAACATAGAAAAGAATAAGATGTGTAGCGGGTAAACCTTGGGTCGGGTTAAATGTGAAGGGGTGTTCCAAAGGAAACTCTAATACGAGTACTGAGGCACTTTGGAAGAACACACCTCCTTTAAGAATGGTACGACTACCATTGGGGTATATAAACAGGAGCGATTCTTTGCTCAAGGTCGATTATCATGAGTTTAAGAAGACGAAGACCTGAAATTACGGTACGTTGATATTTGAGATCGTTGTCTCTTATAATAGTTACTATTACTAAAGTGTAATAAAGAACAGGTTGTTGCCTGTTAGAAATACGGACTTGTACAAGTTTAGAGTTTACAAGCTGAACCGTATTGTTGTACCGTATTAGACAAGTTTGTAACTTGTAGGGTACATAATTGTACCAAGACAACAAGGACAAGTGTGTAAACTTGTAGGGTACATAATTTTACCAGGAGGACAAGTTTGTTCCTGACCCAGGACAAATTTGTAATAGTACAAATTTGTACCAGTTGTATATATTTTAAGTAGAATAGTTATAGATAGTTTATATTAGAGAACGCAAATAGCAGTTGTACATATTTTGGTTCATTGGTGTCACTTTATGAATAAAGTTTACTTGTTTATATATTTTGTAAACAGAACAATTTGGATCCAGTATCAAACTGGTAACAAACCCAATCTAAAATAGAAATAGACACGCTTACCCTGTGTACACGTTACATAATTTGGTGGCTAGCGCTGGGATCTAAATTGTTCATTTTTGAATCCATTGTGAAAGTTAATATCCAAATTGATCATCTCATAAATTTATGTCCAAACGGTGTTGTGAGAATTTATAAGTTCAAATTATTCACTTTTGCACAGATCAAAATTGTCCTGTTTACGTTTTAATTTTCACACAGTTAAGTTGCATGTATTATTTACATTAGGGATTAACGATCGATAGTGGTACAGGCAATACTTTGATTGACATTTATTATATTGTACATGCTTGCTTAAATCGTAAATTAAAGTACCAAAATTTCTTTTGATGATAAAATTGGCGAGTTGACAAAACAAATACAAGACATGGAAGGAACGATGTACAAAAGGAGTTTTATTTCGTCAACACCAAAAGATCAAGGTGTTTGTCCAAAAGACGTTTTTTTTTGCAAGAAATGATTCGGGTTTGGGATGAAAAGGGTCGTCAACAAGGGAGATACTAAAAAAAGGCGATTTGCCAACATACACCAACCCGAATACGCACAAAACTGTTAAATTTGCACACATTGATTTAGAGGAAGGGGATACTTTGCCGTTACCTATAGATTATAGTTATGTAAGGGAAAAAGACAAAAATGACAAATCAAAGAACCGACATACTGATCACACAGATAATTCTGGTGTAAAAATTAAACCATGTAAATATGACGGTAGCACACCATAGATGGACTGTTTGTCCCATTTTGAAAGATGTGCACTTGTAAATAATTGGTCGGAAAGTCCAAAAGGGTTATATTTGGCGGTATCCTTAATGGGACAAGCACAGGCGGTACTTGGAGATTTTCCAAGTGAGAAAAGACAAAACTTTTCTGATTTAGTCAGTGCACTTGAAGAGCGATTCATGCCTTCTAACCAAACTGAGTTGTACAGAGTTCAGTTTAAAGAAAGACGTCAAAAAGCCAGCGAATCACTACCCGAATTAGGTCAGTCAATTCGGAGATTGTCTAACTTAGCATATCCTACTGCCCCGTTGGACGTACGCAAAACTCTCGGGAAAGAGCAGTTTATTGACGCGTTCGTAGATTCGGAAATGCGACTTAGAATAAAACAAACGCGACCAAAAGGTTTAAATGATGCCGTGAGACTTGCCGTTGAATTAGAGGCGTACAATAAAGCCGAAAATAAAGTTAGAGAGGGACGAGGTTATTTACGGCAGACTACAAATGATGACGAGTTAGATAGTGAAGAAAAGATTACAAATAGTGACTCGACAACGAAAGACATTGCATCATGGATGCAAACAATGGAGAAAAGTCTAAGTACCCTTACGACTGAAGTTGAAAAGTTAAAACTATTGGGACAAATGAGGGGTCTTCTTATAATAAAACGAGATATACCCAAAGTAAGAGGATAAATAAGAATTGTTACAATTGTGGCAAATTTTGTCATTTAGCAAGAAACTGTCGCCTACCCCGCAGAAATATAACTCATCAGAACAATTATAATGGAAATAAGGGGGATGGGTCTGTTAAAAGGAGCAACTTTGACATTGGTTTCTTCTAAGTTATATGATATGTTGACTTCATTAGATAAATCATATCTAAACGAAGTTAAGACAACTGTTAAGTCGGTATGTGGTAATAAGCTAGAGCTTCGAGGAAAAGGCAGTTTCAATCTGCGTTTCGGTCTAAATAAGTTGCATTCTGAAGATGTTGTGACTGATCTGCAAGTTGATGGTATATTTGTTTTGGACTTCATGACACGACATAATTAATTAATTGATGTTAAAAATGGGCTCTTTTGTATTGGGGATTTTAAGGTAAATTTGTGTTTTCAGGGATCAATAGGCTGTTACCGAGTGGTTGCTTCAGAAGCGGTTGTCATACCGTCAAGGTCAGAAATTGTCATTAATGGCACGTTTTGTTTAGCAGAAGGTCAAAAATTACCTGCAGACAATGCTTTGTTAGAAGCAAATGAATATGCAGGAAAAGTCTACATTTTGACTGCTAGAACGTTGGTAAGGTCAGGCGAAAAAGTCCCTGTTGGGTTAATGAACACAGAGCAAGATCCTAAGACAATCTATCCTGGTACTACTATAGCCCAAATGTCTGAGGTTGACCAAATATTAGACGGAAATATTTGTTCAAATGAACAGAAACGTGACGGACTTAGATCAGATCTACAAGATCTTTTGGACAGGACATCAGACGAATTGACTTCGAAAGACAAACAAAAAGTCAGATCTTTGCTGATAGAAAATCAAGACTTGTTTGCTTCTTCTGATGTCGACTTAGGAAGGACCAATCTTGTAAAACACGAAATCAATACGGGAAACGCAAGGCCATTTAAAGAACCGCCTCGTCGAACACCTTATCATTTGAACAAGGTAGTAAAGGACAACCTTGACAAAATGTTACAAAAAGGGATTATTAAACCCTCCCACAGTCCCTGGGCGGCAGGGATAGTCTTAGTAAAGGAAAAGGACGACAGCTATCGCTTTTGCATTGATTATAGACGTTTAATTAGTGTGACACTTAATAAAGACGCGTATCCTTTACCGAGGATTGACGATTCGTTAGACCATTTAGCTTGAAATAAATGGTTTAGTACTTTGGACTGTTGTTCGGAATATTGGCAGGTGGAGCTGGCCGAAAATGACAAGCACAAAACAGCTTTTGCAACGAAAAAGGGTTTATTTCAATTTCGGGTCATGTCATTTGGGTTGTGTTGCACTGCACAGACATTTGAGCGATTGATGGAAACCATACTAGCTGGTTTACAGTGGGAGACATGTCTGGTATACCATTGTATACATTGACGATATAATCGTTTTTGGAAAAACACTAGATTGGGTGCTTGACAATTCAACCTACGACAAGTTTTTGATAGCCTTAAATCGGCTGGTTTAAAGCTGAAGGCAAAGAAGTGCACCTTGTGTATTACAAAGGTTCGTTTCTTAGGACATATTGTCTCTGAGGAAGGAATTTCTACCGACCCCGACAAGATTAAGGTTGTGAAAGAGTGGCCCACCCCTACAAATATAACTGAAGTTTGGTCCTTTTTAGGTCTTTGTAAAAACTTTTCCCACATTGCTAAACCATTACATAAAATAACAGAGAAAGAAACAAGGTTGGTTTGGAATTGAGAATGTCAAGAATCTTTTTACCAATTGAAAGGTAAATTAATCAACGCACCAGTTCTTAAATATCCAGATTATAACAAAGAATTTATTTTGGATACTGGTGCAAGCAATTTAGCAATCGGAGCTGTCCTATCTCAAAAATTTGATGAAGGGCTAGAACATGTTGTGGCATACGCTAGGCGTACTCTTTCAAAATCAGAACGAAAGTACTGTGTGACACGCAAGCAGTGGCTTGCTGTGGTTTGTTTTGTTAAACATTTCAAACCATACTTATACGGTTGAAAGTTCATAATAAGAACTGATCACGGATCATTAAAGTGGTTACTTAACTTTATAAACCAAGAAGGACAGATAGATAGATGGATAGAGACCCTAGGTTCATTTAAGATGCAAATTCAACATCGACCAGGAACTCAACATACGAATGCAGACGCACTTAGTCTGTCTTTAAAAGAAATTCAGAATAATGATCATGACCTGCAAATAGTGACTGAATGAGTAGACAAAGATGAACGTCCCGATTACAAAGATATTTCCGATAAGGGATTTTTCTTAAGATCACTTTGGTGTCAATAGAACAACTTAGAGTTAAGAGACGGGCTTCTTTACAGACCGATTGAAGACCCTGAAACCAAAACTGTTAAAATGCAGGCTATCATTCCTTTATCAGAACGCAAGAAGGTTTTACAATTTCCCCATGATGATAAATGTTCTGCTCATTTGGGTATTCATAAAACTTTGGCAAAAAATTAGACAATCTTATTATTGGCCTGGGTTACAAAACGACGTCAGCACTTATATAAACGGATGTGACAAATGTGCAAAGCGAAAAAGTCCACAAAAGTCCAAAAGAGCGCCAATGGCTTTAGTAGAAGCTAATTGGCCAATGGAAAGGATAGCCAGAGATATCCTTGGTGAGTTGCCCCAAACAGAGAGTGGCAATAGATATATATTGGTAGTTTCTGACTACTATACGAAGTGGACGGAATCTTTTGCCATGCCAAACATAGAAGCTAAATCTGGCTTAGATTATAGTTGAAGAAGTCATTGTAGGTTTGGTGTTCCTCATTGGATACACTCAGATCAAGGCAGGCAATTTGAAAGTTTGTTAATTCGAGAGATGTGTCGTATTCTGAACATTAAGAAGACACGTACCATCCAATATCATCCGAAATCTGATGGTATGGTGGAAAGGTTTAATAAGATTCTTGCAACAATGTTAAGTTCATTTGTAGGACAGAATCAAAGAAACTGGGATGAATACATTCCTTTTGTCATGATGGCATATAGGGCATCAAAACACGACACGACTGGACAAACGCCAAATAGTCTTATGTGAGGTAGAGGACTATCAACTCCTTTAGATATCATGTATGAAATGCCACCATCCGTTAAAGATATCCTTGCACACAAGTGGGCGTGGGAGCTTTGGGAGAAGTTAGAAAATTCTCACAGGTTTTGTCAGAGGTAAAATCAAAGGGCAGATGCGGAGACAGAAACACTATCACGACCTCAAATTATCATACCAAAATTTCAGAAAAGATGACGATGTGTACGTGTATTTCCTAGTAAAGAAACCTGGGATGTCTTCAAAACTGACCAGTTTCTGGAGAGGTCCTTTCAAATCCTCGACAAATATGGTGACCTTACATATAACATGTATAAGGTTGACTGTTGACAAAGAGGGAAACCACAAGTTATACATGTTGACAGACTTAAGAAAAAGAACAAATAGACATTAAGGACAGAACCGAATAATAGCACTATTAGTCCCTTGGACACTGAAAACTATAGTGCTGAAGATGACTCAGTAGAGACTCCTTATTTACAAGACATTGCTGTTCACGAGTCAACGTTGCCTGATGAAGATACACAAGAAAGTAGTCCTGAAGGGCGCCGTACAAAGCGAAAACCAGTGTGGATGGCAAATTATATTGTTGAATGAATTTTTTACATTTAACTGAATTAAAATGTGTACTTCTATGTTTTATCCGTTGTAAAGTTAGGTTAACGCATGTATTTTTGAGGCGTGGATTATGTGATGATTTTGTATCATAGGTTCGATAGTTTACATTAGTTACAGTTCGGCACAAGCCGTATTTTATGTATTTTTATATATACTTTAATAAACATAGAAAAGAATAAGATGTTTTGCGGGTAAACTTTGGGTCAGGTCAAATGTGAAGGGGTGTTCCAAAGGAAACTCTAATACGAGTACTGAGGCACTTTAGAAGAACACACCTCCTTTTAGAATGGTACGACTACCATTGGGGTATATAAACAGGAGCGATTCTTTGCTCAAGGTCGATTATCATGAGTTTAAGAAGACGAAGACCTGAAATTACGGTACGTTGATATTTGAGATCGTTGTCTCTTATAATAGTTACTATTACTAAAGTGTAATAAAAAACAGGTTGTTGCCTGTTAGAAATACGGACATGTACAAGTTGAGAGTTTTCATGCTGAACCGTATTGTTGTACCGTATTAGACAAGTTTGTTAACTTGTAGGGTACATAATTGTACCAAGGGAACAAGGACAAGTGTGTAAACTTGTAGGGTACATAATTGTACCAGGAGGACAAGTTTGTTCCTGACCCAGGACAAATTTGTAATAGTATAAATTTGTACCAGTTGTATATATTTTAAGTAGAATAGTTATAGATAGTTTATTAGAGAACGCAAATAGCAGTTGTACATATTTTGGTTCATTGATGTCACTTCATGAATAAAGTTTACTTGTTTATATATTTTGTAAACAGAACAAATTGGATCCAGTATCAAACTGGTAACGAACCCAATCTAAAATAGAAATAGAGACGCTTACCCTGTGTACACGTTACAAAAATAAAATAAAAATAGAATACGAAATGTCAGTTGGAATAAGACCTACTTTGATATAGTACTCGCAGTCTGAAAAAAAATCTTAATGCATATAAAACAAAAAAAGCGTATAACACAGGACCAGTTACTAGCATACGCGGATCTATATTTAGACCAGGTAGAGGCAGTTAAGGGAATGCGATGCAATTTGGATCCCACGCTGATTTTTTGGCAAGAATTTTAAAACAAGTTATCTTTCACCTTGTCAATTTAAAATGTAATAAAAAATATATTTACATTTTTTTCTATTAGAGATTAATGGGGTCAATTGTATTTACTCAAAATTTGGATTTCTTGGAAATTTCTATCCTTTGGACAGTCATATCTTACTTTTTTGTTTCAAAAGAAAAACAGAAGCGGATTTTTGTAAAAGCATTCGTTAATCCCCCTTTTCCCCTGTAACTCGTATGCCCTAAGTACAAAAGACCAAATTATGACACATATGAAAAAAAACCAGTAAAAGAAATCCAAACAACCTACATAGATAAACCAGTCCAATTACACATTTACAAAAAAACGAGAGGCCTCTTTTGTTTTGAAAAGATCATTATTATGCTCCCTGGATCCGCTCCTTTTTGTTTGATCAGAGAAAACTTACATTCCAAGATAATCCTTTTTCATTACTCTGATTCTCTGTCCGTTGGTAATAGTACGAATTTCTTCTGTTCCAGGATCTAGGTAGAATACATTTTGTTATTGTTATTGTTTAAAATCAACCACCAAAATGTTGTTATTGTTTTGAATACGTAAAGAACGTGTATGCATCAACCACGAAACAAAATCTATTATTTCATTCTATTTTGCACAAAAGCATTTTTGTTCGTAAATTTTTTAAATGTAAATGAAGTTTATTGTATCTTACTATTTACAGAAATAAAGTTATTTAAAAAGTACGTTAAAACATGTATTTTAATCTATTGTTGAATAAAACCATTTTATATATCTTAAGAATGAGCAACATGAACCATGATCTCAGGTGTTCCAGAAGGGTAAGCAGATCATGTCCCACATGTGGCATCCGTCGTGTTGTTCATGCAAGTACAAATCCGGTGATAAGTTAATTTGGAGGGTAAAAGAGGACGGGATTGTTTCAGTTTGGTCAAAATTATGATTTAACAGTACAAAATAATCAGCACTATTGTACAAACTGTTGAATAACTTCCATAGTACTGGACAGCATGTACCAAAGTCCAAAAGTTATTTATGTTATATAGATACAATGGATAAGCGTGAATTCTTGAAAAAGAAATCATGAGCCCGGAGGGCGAATGGTTTGTTTTTCATGAATCTACGCTTATCCATTGTATCTATAACTTAAACTATTGTGTTAATTTCTTTTCAAAATTAAAGCCTTTTCTTAATTAGACGGTATTGTAAGTGAGTTTAAATAACCATGTTATCGTATCCAACGATGCATTGATAAATCTCAGATCACAATTAATTGGTTAACAAATACAAATATAACACTTCTACCTTTAAAGATCTGTATATTACCAGGCATATGAATATTATCTGTTTATACAAAATAAGACATATTCGAAATTATTTCTAATAAAATTGAAAATGGAAATGGGGAACGTGTCCAAGAGACAACAACCCGACCAAAAAGCATATAATAAGTATGTTATCGAAATTTTTCTAGCACTCTAGGCACATTACGATTTTCTCGCATAGGAATTTGCGAACAAACCTTAGTAAAATTATGTAGTAAAACAGATGAAATCAGACTATATTCATAAAACAAAAATTGACAAATAGAATGTAATAATTTTTGTTTCAAACATGTGAAATAGCCAATATTAATAAAAAAAAAAAAACCGGTAAAACTCGCTATTATTACAAAAATATCCACTATATATTGCAAAATTAGAAAAAAAAACAGGATAACTTAAGAATTGGAACAACAGAGAGAATACAGGGATTCGAACCTAAACCGACAAATCCCGATCTTTAGCTCATTGATTTTAACCATGCTAACCTCGCGGCTACCAACTCATACTATACGACTGCCTATTGTGTCTATATAAAGGTACAAGCCCTGTGTGTCCGATGAAACGATGTATATCAGATGTTCATTTAAATATATATAATAAACATCTATAGTGTATCCTATTGGTAGCCGAGAGGTTTCGTCGTTGTGTAGATGTCAGTCACACATAACAGATTTTAAGAAAGGGTTCGATTCCCAGTGAAGGCATATGAAAATTACAAAAATTAAAGGTAAGTTTTTAAATTAATTCCATTAGTGAACAGAAATCAGTAAATTAGCCAATTCAAACTTATAATGAAATTAGGCACACAAAGGAAACAATTGAATATAATTTGGTGAGTCAATTTCAGCGGCAGATTTAGGAAGCGTTGATTCTAGAAAAAGAATCCACGGTAAATGAATAGGCTGACGTCACCACAATGGTTTAATCATGCTAACTGACGCTCTCTAGAGGTGATTATTGTGGAATTTAATACATTTTTCTGAAGATTATTGATGTAAAAACTGGGTAAATGCACTCGCAGATTTAATATACGCCAGGGCGATGATTTTTTTGTAAAGTTTGTGAATTCTTTAGGGTAGTTTACATATAGACTGTAAGTCAGTGCATCAACCTATTTACACATAATAAACCTCGAGAGAGAAAAGAAATTGGTTTTTCCTTTAAATTCTCCAAACAACAATGTGTTGTTGATTTTTTTGCCATCATGTTCATCATTGTTCGCTATTGTTCACCATGTACACCATTGCAATATATTGGAATAAATTAAATTGTGTTATTAATATTTGAATGACTTTTGTTACATTGTAAATTTGAGAAATGGAAACAGGAAATATGTGAAAGAGATAACAACCCGACCAAAGAGTAAAAAACAGCCAAAGGCCACCAATGGGTCTTCAATACACTGAGAAAATTTTACAGCCGGAGGCGGGCTTTAACTGTTTTGGATATAATTAATGTCTTGATAAGCAGTAGTTAACTCACTTGTCGATGTTAACGAATTAGATCCCACCAATAGGTAAACGTCGTTCGATTGACTTCTCCACACCTGCGCATCAAATGTTCCTGTTGAAGCGGTGTGAAACTTCCACTCATACACAAAACCACAACAGTAATAACCAAATTCTCTTGTTTGAGTCAACACAACAACAACTCCTAAAAAAATATTGAAAGGAATTTTAATATGAGTTTCCTTTATTTTTATATATCTATCAATCATCTGTTTGTTCGCCTATGTTTCTCTGTTTTTATTTCTCAAGTTCTGTGTTCTGACTTCAAATGATGAATGACAAATTTACGTCCCCAAGCTGTACTGTTTCACAATTTATTTATAAAAGAATCATTACTGAAAAATTGCTTCTTTTGTGCTAATCAAATTTTCTGTCCATTTTATATTGTATTGTTAAATATGTTAAAAAATAATAAAAGTCTGTTATACTTGTGTCAATCCAATTTGTGTTTATGCAAATAAAATATGTTTTTACTAAACTTCGCTTAAATTATAAGTACAGCATCTTTTTATGTGTACTCTGATGGCATTTTTGTTCTGTTATACACGGTTTAAAAAACTTCAATTTAGATTCACTTTGGCTTTTTTTTGTTCGTATTCTTCGAATAAGAATGAATGTGTACACAAATGAATGTGTACACAAATGAATGTGTACACAAATGTACACAAAGTTCTTCTTATAGTTATGTTTTGTATTTTCTTTTTTTATGCAAATTAATTACTTTTAATTCCGGAGGTTCTTCAAGGAAAATTTTACATAAAAAAATATGCAAAATGTGGAGTATTGTATACAAATTACTTTACCAGCGGTTTAAGACTGAGTTAAGTTTGAAAACAATAACAGTTAACGGATATATATTGAAAGGCTGATAAACGTTTTGAGTATATCAGTACTAGACTCTTCATCAGGGGTTTAATAAGCTTCGCGCATTGATTCACTTTGTGATAAATGGACATACTTTTTTATATGCAAATTATTTCTAACGGTTTTTATGCAACTTAGGTTAAAACAAATGTCCTCGTCTTTTAATTGGTCTTTAGTGGATAGTTGTCTCATACGCAACTATACCACATCGCATTATAGTGAACGTCTGTGACATAAACCCAACAATGGAGGGACGGGATAGAATACGCATGACGGTTCACAAACGTGTAAATCTAATCTTGGCATTATCAAAAATGAGAAAATGTTATGTTTTATTTATTTCATAGTCCATAAATAGCGGTACATATATACACTAACTATATTTCATAGTCCCTAAATAGCGGTATAATATACACTAACTATATTTCATAGTCCCTAAATAGCGGTACATATATACACTAACTATATTTCATAGTCCCTAAATAGCGGTACATATATACACTAACTATATTTCATAGTCCCTAAATAACGGTACATATATACACTAACTATATTTCATAGTCCCTAAATAATGGTACATATATACACTAACTATATTTCATAGTCCCTAGATAACGGTACATATATACACTAATTATATTTCATAGTCCCTAAATAACGGTACATATATACACTAACTATATTTCATAGTCCCTAAATAACGGTACATATATACACTAACTATATTTCATAGTCCCTAAATAACGGTACATATATACACTAACTATATTTCATAGCGAATCCAATACTACAATAATGTATATTTGTTTAAAATTCATGTTGTAATGAACAGCATTGAAAGTTTCCAATTCACTTTTATCATGCGCCCACTTCGACCAGTCCACCATTATTTTGTATATTAAGATCATGCGGAAACAATAAAACGGTTAACATATCAATTGATAAAATAACTCGACCATGGATGAGGGTCTGGATGGGGTTTACAGAATAGAGAATAACAAGCAAAATGTGCAGCATAAATGGTAAAAAAACAAAGAATAGAGAATAATAGGGTGCTTGAATATAAAGTATAGAGAAAATGGGCTAAAAAATTAAAGAATACAGAAATGATTTCAGGCATAGTCTTGACTTCCAACAAAAATAAGAACTGGTGAGATTTTTGTATAATTAGCTAAAGATTGGCAAATAACAAAAGAATTGATACTTTTGTCATTTTTTCGGACAACCATTTCTTCAAGGTAACGACAATGTCCTGAAGAAAAGGCGCAATAATCCTTTTTGTTAATGCGGAAGAGTTATAAAATCATGAAATATATATTTATGAATACTTTGCATGAATATTTCATTAGATCTGAATAATTGATTTTACTTTGTTAATTTAAGAATAAAAAATGTCATTCAATTTTTTCTTAAAAGTAAGATTCTTTATTTACAAAATATGATATTCATTTTTGAAGAAGAATTTATACTAAGACCACCTTTTCAGCCCTTTGATTTTCAAAAATAAAAAAAGTATCATAAATCTATCACCAAATACGTCTCAGATTTTCACTAGATATAAATCTGTCAGATACAAATATATTGGGTATGTGTCTTACCTATTTGGTATAGGGCTTTATAAAATTGAATGCAATTTGTTAATATATGTCTTATATATAGATGCTAATTTGTAATATAAAATATGGGGTAAGGTCTTGGCTTATATGTAAAATTCCCATTCAATCAAATATCTCAATTTAAACATGTTTGACTTTATAATAATAGGGTCATCACAACAAGGATTTGTGTACTTAAATGTCAAATTCTATCGACCTTTTCTATTATCAAAAGAACTAGCATATTTGTTGAACGATTGACAAACGATCTCTACTATTGAATTTCATAGGGCAAATAATAACTCATCCATTCTTTGTATATCTATATTTTTAAATTTTTCCTTGTTGATTAGTTTGATATTTATCCTTTATTCCAATACTATGTTGATACATTGTAGTTTTTCAAGTAAAGCATGTTGTCGTAGGTTACCTGTTTGAGCGTCAGTCATATTTTTGTTGGTAAGTCCGTTTTTCTCTCCAGTAGCTTCGTCTTTCGTACATACAGTTATAGCACTAACAACTACAAAGAACAATCACAGGTTATTTATGAGGGTCGCAAAGGGGGTAAAGTCATAGAAGAACAAGAAATAAAATGGCAAATTCACGACGAACTAAAAATAAAAAAAAAAAAAAAAATCCACGACGCTTTTTTTGCCAATTTGCATGAATTTGATTTAAGCACAAAAACACGAAAAATAAAAATATGGAAACACGTTGGATAAAAATTAACCTTCAGCACTCGCATTTATAATCAATATCTTACACTGGGGAGAACATGATTAAAAAATCCACAACTACGCTTTGGAAAAAGTAACTTAAGAATTTTGTTACGTGTAGTGCAAAATTGTGATTTTGGTTGATATTAAAAAAAAATATGTGTTTTGTCATGATATTGTTTCTAATAGAATACATTCGAAAATTAACTATATGTATACATGAATACACTAAGTATATTCTTTTCCCATCGTTTAGGTCTCGTGCTCATCGGATGAAAGGTTACCCCCGAAACTTGTCAAGTACACGTAAATCGGTATGTTTGAAACTATTCGTATATTTTACGATGACGAATTGTTGTCCGTGTTGCTTTTGTCATAGTTTGACCTAATACAAATGTTTTAGATAAGCGTTTTAACTGTTGCCTCTAATAAAAGTGCTAATTTATCTGTTGATTTTTGGGATGGGGAGGGGGTTCACAATCGTGATAAGAATATGTATATTGTTATAACTTTCAACGTCTTCATCAATGAGCAACGCATTTTTTTCTTATTTTTTTTTTCTAAATTGTTTCTTTTGAATAATGATTGGAAAACAACTTTGAAATAACAATAATGACAACTTTTTTTAAGATATTAACGTATTATTACAAATTTCAAACTTAAAACCTCCAAGAAGGACATGCAAAATTTACAAATCACAATTGTGATAAGAGCACAATAAACGTACTATGTGCCATGTACCAAAATTAAGCAAAAATGAATAGTGATAATAATACAAAAATTAATACAAAATATGAAAAAAGTTTTTTTTTATTAATTTAAGTCTTACCATATATTTTCCATAACAGGACAAGTGCTGCAAATACGATGTTGTTTTTGATATACATTCTGATAAAATATGATAATTTTCTACGCGTAATAAAGGATTTTGTGTGAACGCGTCTATACGTCTCTTATTCTCTCATAAGGTTGACACCTTCTTTCATTCATATTCATATTGTTAAATATGAAATTAAATAATTTAAATTTCAATATTGTTATAATAAACAAAACTTGTTTGCCCTTTTTGAATGTACAAATAATAATCAAATCAGATTTATTATATGAATTTTTACACTTGTTCCGTTATCGTCAGCACATATCAAAATTTGCGTCATGATATTTTGTTATTGTTTTCACTGAATGATAATTTATTCAACGTTTTACTTTAGTAATTCACTCACTTTGTTTGCTTATTTTTCTCCGTTATGTCAAGTAAAAACAATAATCATTTGAAGGCTTACACAATCTAGTTATAGTAGAGGAATTTTTTGAACCATTTATCAGTGGCATTCCAGAAAGTTATGCGGCGTTTCTATACTGTTATTGACTTTTGATGAGGTTGATAGTATCAGATTAATACATGCCATTTTTCATATCAGATGTATTATCAGCCCAAGAGCCGAAGGCTAGAGGTCTGATATTGACCGAGGGCTGATAATACATCTGATATGAAAAATGACGACTATTTGATATTATGGAGAGAGGGCGGGTGCAGGAGGAATTTTTGCGGATTTATTATTCATTTTAATCTGCCGCTAATCATGTCTATTTTTTCAGCTCTTACCTGGTCATCATATCCTCTTGTCCCCCAACCCACCACAAAAAAAAATATTTCAAATGTTTTTACCCTTATTTAACACAATTTTAAATTGATTGATTGTTGGTTGCTTATTTTTAACGTCCAGTGACAAATATTTCATGCATGTTCAGGAAAACACGAGTTTAAAAGTCAGGTATTGTATAATTTGAAAATAAGGAGATGTAGTATGATTGCCAATGAGGCAACTATCCACCCAATTTCAAATGAAGTGAATGTAAACAATTATAGGCAACCGTACGGCCTTCAACAATGACAAAAACCCATACCTTATAGTCGGCTATAAAAGGCCCCGACATAAAAAAATGTGAAATAATTCAA